TGTATTGATATAATCATGTTTACTTTGATCTTAATCAATTGGATTATCAATATTTTCGTATACAAATAGCGTAAAAGGAACTAAAAACTTCAAATTATAATTTTTACAATTTATTCAAGAGAAGTGACTGTAGTTTTATATTGATATAATCATGTTTTCTATTATCTTAATCAATTGGATTATCCATATTTTAGTAAAAAGTTTGCATGGAAAGTGCTAGAAGTTTCAATCTATACTTTTTACAGTTTATTCAGAAGAAACAACTATACTTTTGTATTGATATAATTATGTTTCCATTGATCTTAGTCAATTGGATTATCAATATTTTCGTATACAAATTACGTAAAAGGTACTAAAAACTTCAATTTATAATTTTTACAATTTATTCAAGAGAAGTGACTGTAGTTTTATATTGATATAATCATGATTTCTATTATCTTAATCAATTAGATTATCCATATTTTGGTAGAAAGTTTACATGGAAAGTGCTAGAAGTTTCAATCTATACTTTTTACAGTTTATTCAGAAGAAACAACTATACTTTTGTATTGATATAATCATGTTTCCTTTGATCTTACTCAATTATATTATCAATATTTTCGTATACAAATTGCGTAAAAGGTACTAAAAACTTCAAATTATAATTTTAATAATTAATTCAAGTGAAGTGACTGTAGTTTTTATTGATACAATCATGTTTTCTATTATCTTAATCAATTGGATTATCCACATTTTGGTAAAATATTTGCATGGAAAGTGCTACAAGTTTCAATCTATACTTTTTACAGTTTACAGAAGAAACAACTATAGTTTTTATTGATATAATCATGTTTCTTTTTGGTACAAAGTTTGCATGGAAAGTGCTAAAAATTTCAATCTATACTTTTTACACTTTATTGAGAAGAAGCAACTATAGTTTTTATTCATGTAATCATGTTTCTTTTTGGTACAAAGTTTGCATGGAAAGTGCTAGAAGTTTCAATTTATACTTTTTACAGTTTATTCAGAAGAAGCAATTGATATAATCATGTTTCTTTTTGGTACAAAGTTTGCATGTATTTTCAAATTGATCCTTTATGTTTGTTTGTAACAAAATATTGGATGAACCAATGGGAGCGTAAAGTAGATGAGAGAAAAGTTAAAAGCGTGTGGATTATGGCTGTGCAGAATTATGGAAATGTAAACATTCTGTAACGTATACGATTGTGCGTGTACTCGTTTGGATGTGAGTGTATGTGTATGTGCATGTTGGGAGGCTCGTTCAATGTATTTAATGGGTCGTAAAAGATGACAGTGGACACGCATTTTGAATTCGCAACGACTGTCGACATCGGAGGAGGCAGGAGGACGACTCTTTCAGCGGTTATTTTCAAACCGACGTCGGCGCTTTATATTAAAAGAGAGAGCGCGTCCGTCCGTCCGAAAATACCATACGAAAAGTCAACGAAAGACCTTTCTGGTCCCCGAAACATTTTATATTATAAATACCGAGCGCGGCGTCGCGCACACAGTAGAGGGCTTTGTGCGAATTCCCGATCTGATGTCGTCCACTATTTTTTTCTTCTGTTGCAGGTTTCGACGTTGCATCCACGACGTCCTCCTTGGACTGTCTCAACCTGATCGTTCAGAGCATCACCAACAACAAGAAGTTGGTGGAGAGCAGCTCGCATGACTCCACGACAAAGACGTGACTAGAAGACAACAAACAGACACCACGTACCACTCTAGCTCAATTTGTACTTCCTAAGTTATCTTATTAAATTATTATATTTATTCAAAACCAAACGATGTTTTTATTTGCCAATTGTATTTCGTGTTTTAGCAGCAAAGAGGAAAGCAACATCATTCTTGTCTAAGAGAAACATGGAACTGTCAGATTCGTGAATATTGGGAAAACTGAAAATTGTAGTTAGTTACTTTGAGGTAAAATTAGGATATTCTGTGATGCAAATCCTGCAATAATCCTGTATTGATGTATTACTTAGAACAAATACATAAATATAATACATTTAGGGTAAAAATGTATTATATTTTAAAAGTGGATTGGTTTTCGAGTTATTAACGAAAATCGTTTATTTTTCTTCTATGAAACTGCAGTTTTGATAAAGTGTGAGGACCTCAGTACCTTTAAATTTGTAAATGCAAAAGATGGGTCGCGGACCAAAAAGTTTGGGAACCACTGGTCTAAATAATATGATTCCTGTTGAATTGCATAATTATCCTGCGTTGTTATACTGAAAAAAGAAAACGTGAAGAGATTGCAGTTTTTGACTACTTATAACTTTAATTTGCATATATTCTGACCTATTTCTCTTGTGCAGTTTTTGAATTATGCAAGAAATATTCTTCTTCTTCTTTTTGTCAAACTCCTAAAAATATTAGTAAACAAATTACACGTGTGTATATTTGGTTGCCTATAATAATCACTAAGATACGAACGCAATAGCAGAAAACTACATCAGTGGGATCGATGATGTAATTGTTTTGAGGAGTTGTCGAGTATTTCTCAAATACCTGAAGACATAGAAAAATTATATTGATATAAATTTCTTAACCCTTTTTCTATCCCTTTAGATGTTTGGGCTGTGCTACATTTTTTTTTTGGTTTTTTTGGGGTTCGAACCAAGTTTTTCGTTCCGGATTTTAGTGATGAAGGTGACTATAATATATAATTGATTGATAATAATTTTGAAAGTTTTAATTTGGTTTTGGCTGAACTATGCAACCAACTGCACTTCAAAGTATTGATAGAAAGTTACTAAAAAAAATCCCACCGATCGCATTGTTTGCATATGCTATCAACAAAGTTGTTTATATAATCGTACTATCACAGAATTATTGACCTATTATTCTCCATTGGATGATTGTCCATGCAGTTCATTCACATCGTCCGACATGAATGACCGCTGTTGGTACGCCTGCACGGTAGGTGTATCACTCATATACTCATATCACTGACGTTGAAACGTCAACTGAATAAGGAGGAGGAAACTGATCATTAGCTAGAGATTTTTTTTTATTTAACACATAAATATTTGGATCTGATTGATAGTGTCCGTGGTCGGTGGTCGTTAAACGATAAATGTGGTTGTTCAGTGATCCTGTGAAGAGTTGAAGGAATTACACGAGTTCGTGAGCGCACCAGAAGGTGTGTGTGGGGCACAGAAAAATGGCCAGAGATTATGACCACTTATTTAAATTGTTAATTATCGGTGATAGTGGTGAGTTCATGCACATACTTTACTATTTTTTACACCCTTCCTCAGATACACAAGCCTCCACATAAAATCCATAACCCACAACTCTTAGCATTTGTTGCTAAGTAACGCAAGAGTTGATAAATAACAGAAAGAGAAAAAAAAAACAAGACTAAGAACAATCGAAACCCAGTGGACTCGCAGTTGAAAAGTTATCGAAGATAATCGTCTTATCAAAAACCTGATACAATTTACAAATGAACATTTTCCTCCTGAATTATCACTAATTTTGTTCCATTGTAGTTTCTCAATACGTCTGCTGATAACAACGAATTCGATAAAATCAAGTTTCCACAGACAATTCACTTGTTAAAAATTGCATTTGCAAATTTGATCAAGATGCAGCAATACGTCACAGTAATTAACGTTGTTTTCGCATCTCTCTCTATAGTAAAGATCTCAGTTAATGTTGTTTTGTTTTCACCTCTCGTTGGTTTCGATTACGAAAAACCAAACGAAAATCGATGGAAACTTACCGATTGACGTCGTTATTTGTAATTGAGGAAGGAAGATCAAAGGAATTCGCGTAACGGTACATCTCTCCAATATGGATTTGAGTGTTGATAAAATTAATTTGCAGTCGACGCGAAGCACGACACAAAAGAGGTGCTCTTTCCTTACGTATTCCGCGCGATCGAAGAATGCAATGTAATCAGTTATAATTAATATAATTGCAATTGATGGGAATTGGTTAACAGATGCAATTACGCGATTTTTTTTTACTTAAATTATCATTCAAATATGAGAAAAATGCATGTAGCTATTATAATTTACAAACCAATTGTTAACTCATGTATTCTATAAGATTTAATCTATAGAATTATAGTTATAATGAATCTATTTCACATTGTAAAGTGTATACTTTTAAATTGTATTTTTTCGCCTTTAAAGAGAACGAAATTTTATTTTTTATTAAATCAGATTTAACTTATTTATTTTTAATGAAGCTTTATTATATTAAATATGTTAAAAGAAAGCTCGCAATTAATCTGATTGCATGCTGTACTGATCATCGATTTCCTAAGTACTTTCCAAACTTCGTAATTGTTTTTCTTGCTATTTGTAACAAAGTGATTCATCAATATTTAAGAAATTAGAACGAAATTTGTTATTTGTAATTTATTTTTTTCACTGTTTGTAAAACGAAATTTAATAAGTGTCGCTCCAAATTTACGCAACGAAGTGTGAAACCCAGTGGAATTAGTTCACATCAACGTTGTGAAGACGGTATTGATTTTGTCTACGATGATGCGAAAAACGTGTTACAGATTCTAATAACGTGGAGTAATGGTAATGGAACATTTAGTCTCCATGGAAATAACAATTTACTTTAAAATACTTGTAACAATTGAAATGTTTCAATAACAATTTATATTTTTTTTTAAGAAAATTCTAATTATTTTCATAAAATGACTGAACATGGGATATAATGTAAACTTTAAGATTGATTTTGGCTTCTTCAATACCATTTATTTATAGTTATAACTCCATAAAAAGTATACATAGATTATTCAAGTTGAATAGCCTGTAAAGCACGTCAAGTGGTTCTAAAATTAGTATATGGGAAAAAGCGAGGTTCTTGTTCCTTATTTTATTAGTATTTTCTATTATAATACTGTATATATCGATGTAAATTTCAAGTAATTTAAATTGTTAATTTATCAAGTCCAACAAAACTTTCCGATTTTTCTGAAGGATTGAAAAAAGTTTTCGCTTTTTTTTTACCAAAAACTCTGTAATTGTTTTTGTTTCGCAGGTGTAGGGAAAAGTTCGCTGCTGCTGCGTTTCGCCGACAACACGTTCTCCGGTAGTTACATTACGACAATCGGAGTGGACTTTAAGATCCGGACGGTTAACTTGGATGGGAAACGGGTGAAACTGCAAATCTGGGATACTGCAGGACAGGAGAGATTTCGCACAATAACCAGCACGTGAGTTATAAACTGTAGTTGCAATCACATCATAAAAATGATCAGTTTGAAGTTTGTAGTCGTAATCAAGAACACGGTATGATTGATGACATTCAATTTACTGTTTCTGTCTTAAACATTGAAACTGTGCAGAGCTTAAAACATGCTTTGAAAGTCTTAATAAAGAAATTGAAAAATAGTCGGAAGATAAGAATTGTAGTCGTAATCAAGAACTTGGTAATGAAAAGTCTTATTTAGATAGTTTTGAAGATGATCTAAATATGATTTTCAAGTTACTGTTTCTGTCTTAAACATAGAAACTATACAAGATCATCTTCAAAACTATCTAAATAAGACTTTCCATTACCAAGTTCTTGATTACGACTACAATTCTTATCTTCCGA